GATCGGCCCCCTGTATGGTGCTGAGACGGTGAGCGATAATCAGAACGGTGCGTCCCGTTGTGGCTCGGTCCAACGCCTCCTGAACCACGCGCTCAGACTCAAACCAGCATGACCTCTCCACTGCTGGGGTCATAGAACCGCTCCAATAAGGCAGACACTGTGGATTTGCCTGAATATAGAGGGAAAATAAATTACTAATACATTAATAATAATAATAATAATAATAATAATAATATATTCACATGTGATGGTTGTGACCATTTGTATGTGAAGTTTCTGTGCTAGACAGATAGATAGACAGACAGACGGACGGACGGATAGTCAAATGGATAGATAGATAAACGGATAAATATACAAAAGACAAACAGACAGACGGACGGACGGACGGACGGACGGATGGATAGTCAAATGGATAGATAGATAAACGGATAAATATACAAAAGACAAACAGACAGACGGACGGACGGACGGACGGACGGATGGATAGTCAAATGGATAGATAGATAAATAAACGGATAAATATACAACAGACGGATGGATGGATGGATGGATGGATACACAGACAGACGGATGGATAGTCAAATGGATAGATGGATAGATAGATAGATAGATAGATAGATAGATAGATAGATAGATAAACAGATAAATATACAAAAGACAAATGATAGACAGACAGACAGACAGACAGACAGACAGACAGATAGACAGATAGATAGACAGATAGATAGATAGATAAACGGATAAATATACAAAAGACAGACAGACAGACAGACGGACGGATGGATAGTCAAATGGATAGATAGATAGATAGATAAACGGATAAATATACAAAAGACAGACAGACAGACAGACGGATGGATGGACAGTCAAATGGATATATATAGATAGATAAACGGATAAATATACAAAAGACAAACAGACAGACGGACGGATGGACGGACGGATGGATAGTCAAATGGATAGATAGATAGATAAACAGATAAATATACAAAAGACAGACAGACGGACGGACGGACGGACAGACGGATGGATAGTCAAATGGATAGATAGATAGATAAACGGATAAATATACAAAAGACAGACAGACGGACGGACGGACGGACGGACGGACGGATGGATAGTCAAATGGATAGATAGATAAACGGATAAATATACAACAGATGGATGGATGGATGGATGGATGGATATTTAGATAGACAGACAGACAGAGGTATAGATAGACAGAAATATAGACTGATAAATATACAACCAGACAGACAGACAGACAGATACTTTACCTCCGCCTGACTCGCCAACGATAGCGACGGTTCTACAGGGAGGTAGAGTCAGGTTGAAGTTCCTAAGGCTCTGGTTTCCAGGTCTTGTTGGGTAACTAAGAAACATTGCAGGAAACATCAAATAACAGAGAATTAAGCTCTTTAGACTGAATTTAGGTCTCGTCATGTTTGCATGGGAGCAAACAGAGACCTACCTGAAATTGATGTTCATGAAGTCAACTCTTCCCGTCAGAGACTTGAGAGGGATACGACCTCCTCCGGTGAGAGGAACAGTGGGCTCCAGAGCCAAATACTCAAACACACGAGCCCCTGCACTCATACCACGAACCATCTGACACAAACCACACATCAACATATACTATATATAAAGTAACAAAACGCTTGGAAATGTCATCTACTCACCTGTCCAAAGAGAATTGAAATGCTGGCAAGAGATCTATAGAGAGAGAAGTGATGCTATTACATTTGATATTATAGACACTGCTTCAGCTGAATGTTTGTTCCTTCTACATTATGTGTAGGAAAAAATTGTAAATTAAGACTCATTGCACTCTCACCTCTGAACCGTTTGAGAGGCGACCAAAAAAGACATTAGATCACCAGGCGACATGTCATTACGGGCCATCAAAGACCCACCAGCAAAAATAGTGCCTAGGACAATGCCTGTCGAAGAAGATAAATATTTAACAGATCTAGTTCATGTGGTCACTGCATGTGAATCAGAGAAGATGCATCAATACTCACAGTTCAGGACAATATTAGACAGGCCCTGAAATATGGCAATTCCTGTGCCCAGCGTCTCATTCATCGCAGCTGATTTCTGGACTTCAGCGGCATACATCCTGTGAAAGAGGGGGAATATCAGAACTGTTAGGTTTTGATGAATAATAGAGAGCTTTGATTATGCATGTCCTGATCAGTTTTATTTTCCTGAAAATATCAGATTTGGTGCATCCATGTAAAAAAAAAAAAAGTAAAATGCTATAGTAAAAACTGTAAATGTTTTACCTTCACATTATATGTACTTTTATTATAAAATACTGTCAAATGCATGTTTTTTGCAAGTAAAAACTGTTTATTACTGTAATTTATAATTTACCCTATAATTTATTAACCTTATAATTTATGGTGAAACACAGTAAAATTACATTTCCAGAAGTTACCGTGTGACATATGATTATATTTTATCAAAAGAATTTTTGTTATAAGTAATGTACATTAGAGCATTTTTGTTAAATTTTCTGTTATTTATATCAAGTTTATTGCATTATTTTAGTGTTGTGTGTTACACACACTGATGGTGTTTTGTCTTTGTGTGTATGACACTGTCTACAAGTATTGGTTTTATGGACAGGGGCCTTATGATGAACTTATTATTAGTAGCTTTTTAGGGGTTCAAGCGCGTAGCGCTGAAACCCTATTGTAATGTTTAGAATGGTCACGGATCAGTGATCTCCACGTAAAACTGATTGTGCAGACCAAACCGTAAGTCGTAGAGACTTGAAACTTGGAGGGATGGTAGTACTCACACCGCCTACAACGTGACCAAGGCTTGCCCCAATAGGCCTGACGGGGGCGCTACAGCGATCAAAAGTAAAGAGAAAAGCAAAGAGGTGAAGAGAGTTGTCCTCATGTCAGCTGCCACTCTCTCTCCAACTCTAGACAGAAGAATGATGTAGCCACTGGTCAACAGACCCTGAAAGACAAGTAAAGTCAAATATACTACCAAGTAAAAGTTTGGGGTCGTGTTTTAAAATAAGTCTATTTTGCTCACCGAGGCTGCATTTATTTGATTACAAATAAAACAGTAAAAAAACTGAAATATTATTACAATTTAAATGAACTGTTTTCTATTTGAATATATGTTATAATGTAATTTATTCCTGTGATCAAAGCTGAATTTTCAGCATCATTACTCCAGTCTTCAGTGTCACATGATCTTTCAGAAATCATTCTAATATGCTGATTTGCTGCTCAAGAAACATATGATCAATATTAAAGACAGGCGTACTGCTTTATATTTTTGTGGAAACTCTTTGTTTGATAAACAAAGTTGAAAAGAAAAGCAACTATTTGAAACATTGTAAATGTCTGTATTGTCACTTTTGATCAATTTAATGTGTCTTTGTTGAATAATTATATTCGTTTCTTTCCTAAATCTGTCATAAATCAAGAAGCAAGTCAAATTTTGCTCACAGAGCTTCAGTGTAAAGTACCTGTAAACCATACAGTCCGAGCAGCTTCATTGCAGGCGCTTTAATGTCTCTCATGTAATGACCTGCTTGTTCTCTCATGTGGCGAGCGACGACATTCACCAGATCCCCCAACATCAGAGGAATCTGAATATTAAGGGCTGCTGCTCCAAACGCAAGCTGAAAGAGGAAACAACAGAGATATCACAGCACAATATACCAAACTAATCGATGATATGGTCAAAAAACACAATTAACTTAGCATAAGTGTCAATAGTTTCATTGTTTACTTACGATAATGGCTCCTATAAGAGCAAAATGTTGGGGCTGAACGAACTCCCACAGGACGGCCCAGCTGAATTCAGGAATCTTCTCTTTTGCCTGAACTTCCAGCGGGACGTTATTGTTCACATATGCTTCACAGTGAGCTCCAGTACCAAGCAAGCGTGCTGTCACTGTTAAAGCAGCAGGTCCTAATATGAATTTCAGAGTGATGTTTGGTGGTCTGGGCTGCTGTCTGGATGCTAGACGGAGCACTTTTTGAACTTGTCTCCATATGCGAGCAGGAGTGCTGACAGTGATCTGTGTTGATGGGGTTTGTGCACTACTCCATGATACTGTATGCTGGCCACGCCTAAAATACAATAAATAATGGAAAAGTACAGTGTTGCATGGTACTACTGAGTGAAAGGTATGCTAAAGTGTGTTTCTTTTTCACAAGGGGCATAGCATGGCTATTAAGCGATATTTTTCTTTAGTTTAAGCTATGTAAATGTCAAATATCACCGTTTGCATGCTTAAATAACCTATTTCTACACCTGCGGTATCTATTTGATCACATTTACTATCAATTGTGTTTATATACATAAGCAAAATGAAATGCAAATAGATATTCTCATGACCTCAGGCAGATGAATATGGAAATGACTACTGTGTAGACAATTAGTTTCAATCTAAAAGATTAAACAAAGAGACAAATTGTGTACCTATTGAGGTGGTGGATCATGAAATCTCTTGTTTTTTGGGAGTTCAAAAGTCGATCTGACGTGACAGTGCCGCGTGTCAATCGACTGCAACGTGTAAAATGAAACATGTTGTTGTAGTGTTTTGAAATGACAGCAGGAAGAAGAAAGAAAGATAGTTTATGAAACTAAATCAATTCAAGGATTAACATGTAGGCCGCCATGTTTACGCAATCCCATTCCCAACGTCACCCCGCTGACCGTGTACGTCATCGCTGCATAAAACACGTTAGCTTATTTTATTTATTCCCTTTTTTGTTTTCACATAAATAATGGAATGTATACGACAATTTGATTTTATGACGATATGTTTTTTTTTATAGAACTGGCTATTGTTTTAATTTAAATTATTTTTTTCTTTTCCCGCTTTCTTTTTTTTCCCGATTTTCATTTAAATACACATTCTATATTTTATTGTTGATTATAAATGGTAATAATGAATAAAGTTTTATTAATATAAAATGTCCAGAATAAAAGTCTCAACGGAAGTGACGCTACCGGAAACCAACGTGACGACAGGCGATGTTTGTTGTCATATCTGTTTTTGTTGTGAAGAGCAAAGGCGAGGATCATCTTTGCTCGGATGGTGAGACCAATACAGCGGTTTACGTATTAAAATCCTTTCAATATTCTTTTAGTATAAATGTTTTCAATAAACAAATCTCAACTGGACGATAAAAGACGGTAACGTTATAAGCAAATAATGAGCAGTTTTGTCAGCATGAGGTTGATGTGTGACCTGTTAAACTCAGTCCCGTTAGCAGACACTGCATAAAAATGGTTCAATTTAATGAGCAATTATGTTGTCATTGATAATGGATGCATTTGTACGTTCGTGATCTGTGATAAAAACTTGTGTCTTTGTTTCTTTGCAATAATGCAATCAAGTCTGTCCTTGACTCATCTGTTTGTAAACTGGTCATGTGATTGTGATTTGATCAGAAAATAGAGACAATAACAGTCTTGTGAGTTCAGTGAACTCGGCCAGTGGATGACATCTGTCACATCTAATTCTACTATAATGTTATATGTGTTGTTCAGGACCTATGGTGAACATTATAGAGAGGTAGAATGTAAAACACCATGGCTGGTTTTGAAACGTACCAGGAGTATCAGCGAATAGAAGATTATGAGGAAGACTCCCCTCCAGGAGAGGAAGATTTACTCATCCATGTGCCAGAGGGAAGAGGAGGTCATTATTGTTCACTTTTACATTATACATTATGACAAACAAAAATCTGTATATCATATTGTTGATCACTGAACTGAATAACAATGTCTTTGTTACATTGCAGACCCATGGCATCATATCAAGAACCTCGACAATTTCTTCACAAGAATATCCTTTAAAAATATGAAAACAATATGCTGTATTATTTAATGAATTTCATAGGCTGAATAGGAAAATTCATGCTTTTTTTTTTTTCATGCATTTTTTCGCCCCCAAAACCAGCAGTTGTGCAATAGTTGTAAATGCCTGGAATGGCATAATTTCTCTTTTTCTTGAAAACACACCGTCTCTATTCATCATTAGGCATTAATATTATGTTATGCTCTGGCTACATTAATGTCTGAACAATGCTGTACTTCTTTCATTGGAATGCAAGAGTCCTTGACACGCTCACATCTATCATTTCCATCAGAAGAATGGATTTGCCTGTATGGTGTTATCAGAGTTTTTTGAACTTGTGTAAGTCATATTTACTTTTGCCTGAAGCGTTAATTCTTTGGGGCAGGACTGCATACATACATACCACTCCAGAACTAATCTCTTTTTGCATTCCCATATTCAGGCAATTCCTGTTTGTAGTCACGTTTACAACTTTCCTCTTCAACTGTGTGGAATATGATGTTCTCTTTGCCAACCGAGTGATCAACCACACGGGTCAGAGTCCACTCGGTCCACTGGACAGGAACAAGGTCACCCTTCCTGATGCGATTTTACCCGGCGAGCAGTGCACTGAGAGGTCAGTGTGTCTGCTTTATACAGGCATATTCCCTTTATATTGTGAATTGAATTCAGCTTTGCTTGTAGCAATTTGTTGGTTACTCTGAATTGGTCAAGGATGTAAGTAGTTGTTTAAATAAATATAAAATTCAGTGTTTGTATCTTTAGCTAAAACTATTAAAACATTGTTAAGTAAAATAAGGTTAAGTTGAAGTACTAAAAGTACTAAAATATGGATAAAAATAAAGCTGAATAGAGATATATAAAATGTAAGTATTAGATAAAAAATTTCAGTTGTTGTAAAAAAAACTACTAATGTTGCATTGGAAACTAACTCAAGTAAAATAATATTAAGTTGCATTATAAAAATTACTAAAATTAAATATATATATATATAAAATATTCACTAATTAAAATGAAGACTGAAAATATTAATCTGAATTAAAAAAATATAAAAATGACACATAACGCATAACAAAACTATTAAAAGTGAAAACTGAAAATATACAAAGAAAAGTTAATTCAAAATAATAATAAATGCTATATTGCTATACAAATAATATTAAAGTAACACTGGACCTATTTCAAATATATTTTATTAATACAGAAAATCCTAGTTTAGAAGTCAAAATGTTTATTTTCACTGAAGCAAGCCAAGTTCAGAACTGACCACCACACAGAATATGAAGAATATTAAAAACATTAGGAGTCAGCTGTCTTCGGCAGTCCTTAAGATACCAGCACAATAACACACTCAGCAAAATATCATCTAATTATCGTTATCGATAAAATCCCAGAAAATATCGAGATATAATTTTTTGTCAATATCGCACACCCCTAATATACACACACACACACACACACACACACATATATATGAAGAGTTTATTTGCAAAAACAGATAACTCTGTTTTTTAAAATTATTATTATTGTGTCTTATTGTGTTAGTTAGCTGTTTAAAGTAATTTTTTAGCTTAATCAAAATAACCCAACTGCAATTTGATTGAGATTAATTGAAATGCACAATGAAAAAGCATGATTCCTCAGAATTGTTAAAAATGTTAACAATTAGAGTTAACAAAAGAGTTATCTGTTTTTGCAAATGAACTCTTCATACATATATATATATTTTTTAAATGTGTTTTAGAAAATAATAAATATACTTTATACAGCCTGCATTTGACAGACAGTTTTCTGATGTTACAAATAAAATATTTTGATATTGCATGTGAACCTTTATTGCAATGCCCCACTCAAGGTTTATATCACTTCAGGTTTGGACTATATCTTAACGCAACACGTTTTGTGCTCAGTTTTCAAAGTTGTTTGTCAAGCTTGATTTCCGTAGTAGCCTGTAAGCAAACGTGCTCGAGAGCATTGGGTGAGAATGCTGTTTTCGTGTAAAGGATATATTGCATCACACTGGGACTCAATTCAATTCATCACACTGTGACTCCTTCGTCTCAGACAGTGGCTCCAAAATAAGCAAGCTGTAAATAAGCACCTGTTGGAACATCAGCAGAGGGATGTTCTGCTCTCTCAGACGCTGCTATTCTATTTCTGTGGCCGTAGATGATCCTCAAACTGTGTATTACGTAGAGCTCATGGGTTTTACATAGACACTGGGATGTTTTGGTCCGTTTGACATTGAATAGCTGTTTTGCTTGTTTCTCAGGTTCTTACTTGGTAGAAGTTTTCATAGACAGACAGTCAGTCAGAAGAAATATACATCTTTTACAAGTGTGTTGTTGACAGACACAGATATGCGACACAAACATATTAATATCATAGCTGACTCACTTCAATGAGACTCATTTAGGAACATCTTGTGCTGTCATACAGTAATTAAGACTCATTTGGTCTCTCATGTTATTTTCGAAATCTGTTCTCATTATGTTTCGCAACAAACTGCATTTGGAAGAGAGAATTAAGTTATTCAAGCTCAAAATGACGTTAGATCACACTAAATCACATACTGGGTATTACTTATTTAGCATCTGTCTTGGTTAAGTTTGGCTGAGTTATACATGACTTTATTCTTATAATATCATGAATCATGAGCAATCCCACAATTACCTGCTGTCAATAGTGATGATCTTTCTCTCCCATTTAGGATTCAAGGAAACAGCTGGATCATCTTCCTCTTGATAATGGCGGCCATTTTCTGGCTCTATCGACTCGTGAAGGTGATCTGCAACGTCCTCAGCTACTGGGAGATCCGACAGTTTTATAAAAAAGCACTGAAAATACAGATGGTAAGAGATGATCACCAACAAGATTATAGTTTAAAGTGCATATTTAACATGCTGTGTCTGTTTTTTTATAGTTCTTAGTCACACTTTTTTCCTTTGGTGTAACAGTTTTAAAAGTACAAAATATTTAATGTTGTCTCTGTTAATAGTCATAAAATGGCATGTATAATAATCATAAAATGTAAATATCAATTTATATAATTAAAATAAAATTATATAAAAATAATATCTCTTTTATGATTATTATATATGAATTTTTGAATAAATAAATAAGTACAATTTTATATCATGTATCATTTTAAGTTTAGCATTTTAATGTATTTTTTATTTTCATCATATATTTATTTATTTATTTTTTTTATAATTATAATAGCCATATATAATAATCATAAAATGTAGTTTAATCTGAAACTGCTCTTTTAAGAATACTGAAGTTTAACCAGTTAGATTGTGTAGTTTAACCTTTTGCAGTCCTGAGGTTATTGAAAATGTATTTTCTATCAGGTGTCATTATTTTAATGAATAATTAATCACATTAATTTGTCACGCCTAAATATAAATATTAAATATTTATTATTTCATAAGTAAATAAATCCAAGTATATAAATTAATTAACCAACTATTATAAATATTTATGTATTTATTAAATTATACAAATATTATATATAAATGAAATGTTGTTTATTTAAAACATTCTGTGTGTGTGTTTTTTTTATATGACTTTTAGGATGAGCTGTGCAACTTCACGTGGCAAGAAGTTCAAGGCCGTTTGATTCACCTGCAGCGTGAGCAGCCCATGTGCGTCCAGAAGCGTGAACTTTCCGAACTAGACATCTACCACCGCATCCTGCGCTTTAAAAACTACACGGTGGCCATGATCAACAAGTCCCTGCTGCCCGTCAGACTGCGTGTGCCCTTCTTCAGTGACATGATCTTCCTCACGCAGGGCCTAAAATACAATTTTGAGCTCATTCTGTTCTGGGGCCCTCTGTCACTCTTCCAGAACAAGTGGAGTCTGCATCCCAAATACAAACGGGCGGCAAACCGGCAGGAGCTCGCCAAGCAGCTCAGCCGCATCATCCTGTTGACTGGTCTGGTCAATCTGCTGCTGTGTCCCTTCGTGCTGGTGTGGCAGGTGCTGTACGCGTTCTTTAGCTACGCTGAAGTCATCAAACGTGAGCCGGGAAGTTTGGGGGCCCGGCGCTGGTCTCTGTACGGCCGTCTCTACCTGCGCCACTTTAACGAGCTGGATCACGAGCTGCAAGGCAGGCCTTTTATTTATGTATTTAGTTTTAGTAATTTAATACTTATTTTTAGTACTTATTTTATTTCAGTTACCTGCCAAGGCAACATTTTTCATTTTTGTTTCAGTTTTTTAAGTTTATTTCAGATTTTTTAAAAGAACAGTTTAATAGTTACATTTCTACAAATAAAAACACTGTTCTAAAAATAGATTTCATTCCATTCTTAATTGTTGCTGCCTGTGTGGAGTTTATTTGGAGGCTTCATTTTGATAAAGATGCTGTCTATGTAGACGACAAGGCACCTCTCGTTGTATTGGAACAGGGCATAAATGTGACATAAAACATATTGGTCCAACTACATGAGGTAAACGACAATTACTCTCTGCAGCTCTACCCAGCTGGCATCAGGTCAAAGAATAAGTGCTGTTTCATGTGTTCAGTTGACCTCGTTCCACCCGAACATTATCATTCTGATCTGTACAGCAAACAGCACGCTCTCAGCACCTGTTAGTCTGACCTGGCTTCAGTAATGCCGTCTGACTCTCTTACAGGTCGTTTATTCCAGATGAACATATGGTGTGGTGTCCTGAACAGCTGCTTCAGTGTGTCCTGGCCCACATTCACTACATGCCCGACCACTGGAAGGGCAACGCCAACAAGAGCGAGACCCGCGACGAGATGGCACAGCTTTTCCAGTATAAAGCGGTGAGAACTGCACGACATAGGCAGATTATTATCGTTAGACATTATTTGTTATTTCTTAATTCATTCCTTAATATACACTACCATTTAAAGATTTAGGGTCGGTAAAATTATTATAATTTTTTTTTTTTAAAGAATGTAATACTTTAATTTAAGGACACATTAAATTGATGAAAAGTTACAGCAAAGAAATGTATAGTGCTACAAAAGAATTCTGTTTCAAATAAATGCTGTTCACGAAGAATCGGGAAAAACTGTTTTCAACATTGATAATAATAAATGTTTCTTGATCAGCAAATCAGCATATATAATGATTTCTGAAGGATCATGTGACACTGAATGATGCTGAAAATTCAGCTTTGATCACAGGAATAAATTAAATTTTAAAACATATTCAAATAGAAAACAGTTATTTTAAATTGTAATAATATTTCACAGTATTATACTGTTTTTACCATATTTTTGATTAAATAAATACAGCCTTGGTGAGAATTCTTACTTGGTAAAAAATGCATATATAGTGTTGAGGAAAAACAATAAATAAAAAAAAAAAATCTCTCTTTCCTAGCAAAGTGCATATTTTCGAGAATAATTTTGATTTGCATTGTTTTCCTTACTGTTGTCATTTTTAGCTTGCTCACTAGTTGTATGGCACTATTTAGTTATTTTTGAATTGTATTTATTATGAAAAGTGCTGTAAAAATACATTTAAATGGAAAATGTTTTTCTTCATATTCTAATAATGGATAGAAAGGACAAACCTTTAACCTGATACAAATGTTTTCCATGTAATATTGAAATAATTTATTTAGGCTTTAGTACAATCACTATTATTTCATTTAAAAAATATATCTTTTTGCATACAGTATGTGGCAATATTAAAAAATTTGAAAACCCCTTGAATTAGTGCATGCTTACAGACAGAAAAATAACAATTCACTAAATTAGAATTCAGATAATAACAAGGTTGCTCAATTTGCATATATAAACTTTTTTTATTTAATGACAGTAGTTCGGATTTGACTTTTTAGTCTTACTGTTATGATACAGAGAGGCACAACACACAAAGTCTGATGACTGAAAATGAGTCAGTCGGTTGTTTACGACAGTGGAGTTTTCTGTGTTATTTGAAGTATGAAATAACACCTTACCGCTCTGCACCTGTTGTCTAGGAGTTTGTCTGATTTTGCACACCTGTTGTGTAGGTTTTAATCTTCAGTGCATCTGTTCTCCAGCACTGTTTCACACCTGCTCCGCTGTTTTTATGAGTTCCACTCACTGAGTTTCTCTCATTTTTCTGCACTTGTCCTGCAGGTCTTTATATTGGAGGAGCTTCTGAGTCCCATAATTACCCCCTTCATCCTCATCTTCCCCCTGCGGAGCAAGTCCTTAGAAATCATCGACTTCTTCCGCAACTTCACCGTCGATGTGGCAGGGGTGGGAGACATTTGCTCATTCGCCCAGATGGACATCCGGCGCCATGGAAATCCACAGGTATCAAAGAGTACATGCATGCACGTTATTAATGCTTCAGCCCTTTCGGGGGGGAAATAAGATCATAAGAGTGTGTGCTTATGTGAGAGCAGCTTCATGGTTTGCGTTTTTCCCTCTTGCTCAGTGGATGTCCGAAGGTCAGACCGAGGCCTCGGTGTACCAACAGGCTGAGAACGGGAAGACGGAGCTGTCTCTGATGCATTTCACCATCAAAAACCCGCGCTGGCAGCCGCCGCAGGAGAGCTCCGTGTTCATCAGCCACCTGAAGGAGAAGGTGCATCAGGACGCTCAGACAGGACCATCTCCTCAGCTGCTGCTGTCCGAGGCTCCTCTCTGCACCTCGCTGCTGTCCAACGAGTCTGCCACGGTTGTAAGTCACGCCTATATCAATAAGAGTCCATTTGTAGCATTAAGATTAATGAAAACTGTGTAAGTATTGTTCCTTGTTATAGTGTGTTAATTTCAACATTTACTATTACTATTAATTATTATTTTTTTTTTTACTACTACTACTAGTATGGTTCAGTACTGTTTTTGTTAATAAAGCACTATTTTAGTTTTTGTTCAGTATCAATTTTAAAACTATCGGTTAATTAATCGGTATTGGCCAGTGTGGTCCAACCTAGCTATCGGTATCGGCAAAATCCACTATCGGTCGACCTCTGTGACTGTATTAGGATCCTCTATTATCTGTTCCAATCAATGCAATTCACAACACATTTAACTGCTGTAAAGTTACTTACTAAGGTTTTTTTTTACTTTTTAGGACCATTTTTGCATTGACATTTTTAAAGATAATTAAGATTTTTTAAAATGTAAATCATCATCAAGGTAAAAGAAACAAATATCACCCTGATTTATAAATACTTCAGTAATTATTTTTGTCTTCCATTGCAATAATGGATGATGTTTTTTGCTTTAATAGTGATCAACTTTGGTGAGAAAACTGCTTAATTGTAATAAAAAAAGGTTGTTGGTTTTGGTTTTGGTTTTAAAATGGTTTTAATTAGTTTTTACATAATGTTTTTTACTCAAAAATATTTGTAAAAAATATTAAATATAAAAATATGAAAATATTAAACAATTATTTTGTAAATGTGCAGTGATGAATCATGTGATATCATATCAGGCACACTAAAATATATAAAATATAAATTATATAAATATTGATATACACTACCATTCAGACTTTTTAAGGATTCTTTGATTAATAGAAAGTTCAAAAGAACAGCATTTGGAACAGAAATCTTTTATAACATTATCACTATCAATATATTTTAAAGGTAAATAAAATAAAGTATTAATTTCTTTCTGAATGAAAGAAAGAAATAAAAGTAGTAATTCCGTAAAATCTTACTGACCCCAAACTTATAAACAGTAGTGTAAGTATATAATAATTATTATGATTGTTTTAATTATTATTATTATTAATATATAATATTATCTTTCTTATGTTGTTGTTATAATATACTTCTAATACATCTAATTTTGTCCGATAGAAAGAATCAAGTGTGTTTGACTAAAGCCTTTCAAACTTCATCTGAATCTTTTTTTCCTAAAAAAATCCAGTAAAAAGTTGAATTCAAAATAATTATTTTCAAAGTTGATGGCTGCGGTAGTTCAGTGGTTAACCCTACAGTGTAGAGCTTGTATTTATTGAGTGGGACACACTTAGAAACACTCCACTGCGAAGGCAAAATGAAAGAAAAAAACAACATTTCCTGTGGCATTCAGGATATTAAAAAGCCTGCCAGAAGACAAGAAATATTGACATTTCATTTTATGCCTCTGCATTGTTTCAGCGCTTGCTGCCAGATTGGTTATTTCACAGATCATAATCCTGAGCGCAGAGACTAACCATCTGCCTCAGCACGATGCCAGCTCATTTTTCACTTCTCTTAATGAGATGCATATGTTTGTGCATTATTTTTGCTCTTCAGCCTGATAACCTGTTAGCCAGTGTGCTGGCTCACCCCGTACTGACCGCCTCCGGACTGCCTGGGAGGAACCGCCGCTTCGTCCCGCCGAGCAGCACAGCTTCAGCTGCCGCTAGTGTCCTGGCGTCCCTTTCGTCGTCTCAGCAGCCTCACGCCGGCCGGTCTCACTCACACACTCTCCTGCCATCCCGACAGAGCCATGACAGCACCATGTACTGCAGCGACCACACTGTGGGCGACAGGTAACACTTGAGAAAACTAATAATGACAAGTGGCAGAGCCATTTCTCTTTAAACCGCCCACACGGTTCAATTCAGATTCTGAAGTAATCGATGTTACCTTTTCATTAGCATGTCTGCAAGTGACTCCAGGCTACTCAGCCAGTCTTATTCGGCTCTGGCGTCAGAGTTTGCATCAGCCGAGATGAGCCTGCACGCTATATACATGCACGAGGTGAGTGGTCCCAACATACTCAAACAGCTTTATAATCCAGTATAGTTTCCCAATACTTTTTGGCCTTTCCCTCAGGTGCATCAGCAAAAGACCCAGCATGCATCTGGACCGTTTCAGGCCTCTGTGCCAATGAGGGAGTTGAGCACCAACAGTGGTGAGTCACATGCATGAGATGCACATAAAACGGCTTTCAAAATGCATCAGATTGCGATGGCCATTAGATGAGTACTCTAAGGCTGAAAGCACACAGCATCATCTCCCACATTCCACATAGTCACAGTGGCACCCAATGCATTTCTTAATGAGACTGATAAGAGATTTGGTGAGAAAATATTTCATCTGTACGTACAGGAGGTCAAATCATGATAAAAATGTATGAAAAAGTAATTAGCAATTTTTCTATGGAAATGTCATTTAAAATATTCTAACATTTTACAATAGTTACATTTGTCAGCATTAGTTAATGCATTAGGTATCAAACTAACAATGAACAATTTTTTTAACAGCATTTATTAATCAATTTTCATTCCATTTTCAAGTAAAAAAAAAAAAAATGTTCTATATATACATATATAGTATATGATTTATTAATATATACATTTAATATTGTTAATTTATAAATATACTATTTTTCATTGTTAATTCATGTTAAATATTTATATTATGTTTGTGTGTGTGTATATATATATATATATTAGTGCTGTCAAATGATTAATTGCATCCAAAATAAAAGTTTTTGTTTACATAATGTGTGTGTACTGTGTATATTTATTATGTATATATAAATTCATACACATGCATGTATATATTTAAGAAATATATGTTATGTTTATATATTAAATATAATTATATATAATATTATGTAAATATAAATATATACATGTAAATATTTTCTAAATATATACTGCATGTGTGTATTCATATATACATAATAAATATACACCGTACACACACATTATGTAAACAAAAACTTTTATTTTGGATGCGATTAATCATTTGACAGCACTAATATATATATATATATATATATTAGTATTTATTAATGTATAAAGTATTAATTTAGCAATAACATTTTTTTATCGCTAAATCATTATCAATTTTAATATCATAGATTGTTCATTTATACCGCTTGACATGTTAGCATATGTAAAAATTACCATTAATATTTTGGAATTAATACATGTAAAAGTATTTACTTTTAAAAGTGTAAAAGTATTTTTTGTTATTGGTAGTTCATGATACAGAAAGCTTTAACAAATACTGACAAATTCAACCTTATTATAAAGTGCTGCTGTTTTACTAGGGATGTTACTCGACTAATCAATTACTTTTCAGATTGTGGTTGGTTGCTTTAAAAGCTATTCAGTTGGCCTTTTGCATGAGCAAGTATTTCTTAAACAAAATAAGCTGCAGACAGACCCATCAAAACATCAGAAGTTGAATCTTTGGATTGATAACTCATTTTGCATACCTGATCATGGTATAATTGTATAAAAGGATCTGAAGCCACTTCTTTCTTTTAGCTCAAGGTCCTCAGATACAGTCCGCACAGACAGTCACAGACAGTCACCGCTTGGGCGGCTGGGCTGAAGAGGAAGAGGAGGAGCAGGTGGACGAGGAAGAGATAAATACCAGCCCTGTGCCGGATCAGACCAGCAGAGGGAGCAGCTGAAGTGCCTTCAACCTGTACAGTGCGTTCCACAGGATTCAGTTTGGACTCAGACTAGTTAATATCACTACATATGAAGATCTAATTAGTGTTTCAATGCAAAATGACTCAAAATGATTTCATATTGCTTTTTTAACATCATCTTTCTTTCTGGTTTGCAGTTTTTGTTCATTTCTAGGAGTTGTGGCCTTCCTTTGGTTTGACACCCTTTGATCAAGCATGTTGGGACGCCACACCGAGCATGTCGCTCAAGGAGCTCGTCGGAGCCGTTCGGTTCTCTGGACGCAGAGGAACTGTGACGTAACGGGCTGCCACTTCCCCTCCCTCGTCACGTCAGTTACATTTACATTTCAGACTGCTGTGTGTTTGTTTTGTTTATGACACAACAGGGTGACACTTGTTTTACAGTATTTATTTCCATTTCATTTTGTTTTATTTGGGTTCGAGCAAGTTACATTTTCCGCGTCTCTGATTCGAAGGCGAGTCGGGCAGTATTTACTTTTGAAGCGCTGCCTCGGTTTGCAGGATAAAAACATCCTTTTATCGTAGTATTGCTAGTTTCATTTTTGCATTACAGCATCGGCGGACAGAAAATATCACTGAATGTAAAATCATACCAGTTGCCTCGTGGAAAAAAAAAATTGTCTCAAAGTTATAAAACATGATTTTTTTTTTTTCTTAAAGAAAATATAATATAGACTTGGGGATAATTTTCGCCTAAAGAAAAATTGTATTTAAATTAAAAGTCATTCGCATTTGCAGACGTTTTGACAAATCTTAACAATAACCTCTTAGCCTGAGATTAAAAAAAGGTTACATTTAAATGAGAAAAAAGATTTTAGCAATAAAACTCATCACGCTTTACCAAAAAGTATTTGATGTAGAAGCAAACGCACAAAACGAATTAAATTTGTCATGTCTGTCATGACAAATATATTAAAACATCTTAGACCATACGACGTCATATGACTGCATTAAAGGATTTTTATTTAAATTATTCTAAAGCTTATAAGAAGGATTAACTACCAAACTTAAAAGAGTTAATGTGGAAAACCCGATAAACTTATTCAAATGAAAGCATTTAAAAAAAAAAAAGCCAGACATTAATCCCAGTTCACAGCCATTGAAATATTATTTCTAGACTACTTGTTCAGCTCGTAAACCGCAGATTAGCACATTATTTAACCACTTAAGAAGTTCAAATGAAACACTTTAAGGTTAAAGTCAGTTTGAAGGTGTTAGTGTTGTTTTTGAGCTCGGTTTAGGATTTGTGCTCTGTACCCAACCGATAACAGTCTCTTCCAGCGTGTTGAATTAAATATTACACATCTGACAGATGATCTTTCAAGCCGAATCCCAGAATTCATCAGTTTAAGCAGTTAATGTCGTGTGTCCGAGTCCGTGTCAACCCAAACCTGAAGGGTATGAGTTTGTGTGTTGCCTGCGTTAAGAGTTCAGTCAGGTTTCAAACTAGAATCTCCCGTTGTCCAGAACAAAATAGTTGTAACTAATGTGCTTTCTCAAAGCGCAGGAACGTTCGTCTCTGTAATATATCACTACCATGAGAGCCTAAGGGCTTTTGACAGTTTACACATGGTATATGACACTCTGGTCAGAGATATAGCCACAATTCATGTGAAACACTGAACTTCCTGTGCATCTACTTGAAATACTGCAGTTAGAGAGTAGCTTCAAGCGTAGTTCGTAAAGATAACGGCATCCATATCACACCCACTGAAATACCTCCGGATGTACCTTAAGACCGTGTATGTACAGTATTTATTTGTGTGGGATGTTATTGAACGAACAGCATCAGGATGTAGTTGCAGACGTGTTGTTTGCAGTGTTCCAGGATTGAAGGGTTTTTCCACACAAGACTGAACTGCGTAAGTGAAACACATTGTTTTACAGCTCTGTTGTCTTAATGTTCCGTTTAAACAGTCTGGGGTCGGACTGTGCCAGGTGCTATATATATATATATATATATATATATGAATATTTAATTTGTTTCGATATTTATCGCTTTTTGTTGGATTTTGACTTTTTTGTCTGATCAAAATAACACTATCAAAAAATAAACCATAGCAAAACCGGGATTTGCTTTCTTGGTCTATCTTTGCAAGCACTAGTGCTATTCTAGTATTACTTGTAAACAATTGTAGTATTTATTCATGTTTTTAATTATTCTTTACTGCTATATTTTTAATAACAGCACTGTCAGGCACATATGACTATAGGACAATAAAACACAAACATATAAACAGACAAAAGCAGCACTGGATCACATACAGAATCAACAGACAGACAACATGTTAAGAGATGGTTAAATATATTATGTTTATTATACTGGTTCATTTACATGTCACAACTCTCTGTTTTAAAATTGTGATACCTGTACTAGAAATCCCATTGTAGTTTATATAAAACGATACAATAATACATTGTAGCTGAAGTGCAGGAAACATGATGGAAGATGATATTTGCCTTTTACCATATTGCAATGTACTGTAGTGAAGCTGAAGCACCCCAAAACGTACTTGGACACTCAAAAATGTTACTGCATTAGAACTAAATAGCTTTTTTTAACTAATTTTTCAACCAACAGGCCCCAAGGTGTTTTTTAGTTCATCACATTAAGATATGAAACCCCTTTTGTCTTCATTTTGCATGGTGTATCTATTGGTTTACCATTTAACACCTAACAACTTCATTTTGTGACATGTTTCGCTTTGAACGTGTGTTTGTGCTATATTTCTTTAAAATAAATGCCACTTGGTTTGATCATTTTTATCTAATGCGATGACATTCAGACATTTTTATAGGAATAGTTCTACCAAAAATGAAAATTTGCCATCCAAGACGTAGATGAGTTTGTTTCATTGGAACCGATTTGGAGAAATTTAGCACTACATCACTTGCTCAGCAATGGATCCTCTGAAGTGAATGGGTGCCGTCAGAATGAGAGTCCAAACAGCTGATTAAAACATCACAATAATCCACAAGTAATCCAAAAAAATTGTAATAAACAAATCCATCAAGACATTTTTAACTTCAAACCGTTGTTTCCAGCTAAAATACCAGTCCATAATCCATAACGCTTCCTCCAGTAAAAAAGTTGTCTCATCTGTATCAGAAGAGATGACCTTCACTGGAGGAAGAGTTATTATGGACAAGTATTTTAGCCTGAAGCAACAGTATGAAGTTATAAACCGTTTTAATTATGAATTGGTTTCTTGCAAACAACACAGCAGCTTTTCGCTTCTCAAGATGTTAATTGATGGGACTAGAGTGGTTTATCAGCTGTTTGGACTCTCATTCTGACGGCACCCATTCACTGCAGATGATCCATTGGTGAGCAAGTGATGGAATGCTACATTTCTCCAAATCTATTTCGATGAAGAAACAAACTCATCTATATCTTGGATGGCCTGAGGGTGAGGAAATTCTCAGCAAATTTTCATTTTGGGTGAGCTATTGCTTCCTAGTGTCCAGATACTTTTTGGGCTATATTTGAACGTATATCTGAGCAGTTCATGCAAGAAAAGGAAGACACCTGTAACTTCTAGGTTGACCCCCAAAACATGAAAGAATCAAATCGAAGCGTTTGAGTAATATGTCAAGTTTTGAAACTGTATCATCTAAAATAATTGAATATTTTCTAGTGAATGTGGAACTGTGATCTAATTTTAATGCTCATTATATTTAATATGAGCATGTAACTCGTCAAGAGCTTTTCAGCGACTGATGATTTGATTTTCACATCAACACATCGCATACAGTCTTTGCCACTTAAGGTAATGAATTAGCTCCTGGAGGAAACGATCTGATGAATGGATTCACATGTGGGATTGGATAAGTGAAGCTTTACACATGAAATGTGTCATTCATAAATCTAAATAGTACTCAATAACATCCCATCTCATCGCTGCCTAGTGGATGGAAGTCGAAATAAATAGAGTAACATCAGCGTGTCGAAATAAAACTGCATGATTGCTGGTAACTCAGGTTGTACCGAAAGTATCTGGTTCCTTCTGTTTACCTGACAGCTAATAATTAAGACTTGAAGGTAATATACGGTATTCATTAACATATTATTGCACTTATATACACAAAATATGAACAGAGACAAACATTCGGAATGATTACATATTTTCGAGTACTATCGCAGGGCTGAATTCAGTCAAACCGCGGTTAAAGCTCACACGATTATTGTACAAAAAAAGTGCCAAAATAGATTTAAACCTTTGCCAAACCGACTGTATCTGTAACAATTTTTGTGCAATATTAAAATGCTTTATTTTTCAGATTCGTTTAAGGCGGCTTGATCAAATTAGGCCCACAGTGTTCGTACAGGATTCAGAAAAGCACAGAGGAAAAAATACTCTCTCGGGTGAAATACCGTCACAGTATTTGTACGTTTGAAATCGTCCGAAAAGAAATGGCATGAAATCTACCAGGATTTTCCACAAAGTCAAACAAGGAGCGGCTGTGATGTTAATAAAACCTGAGTTTTGTTTTGGAAGTGTTGCCTATTTGTTAGGGATGCACCGATACCGAGCTTCTGTACTCGTACTCGTTAAAATGCCCCGATACCAAACGCCGATACCTCACAGCATGTGATAAGCGCCATATTCAGACAAAGAAACACCAACAACAGAACAACAGACAGCAGAAAGGAGTTAAGGATGTCTACTATGAAGTATATGTATGCAATGAATATAATGTTAAACATTCCGTATTAACGCCTGTATGTGCGCGAGCTGATTAACAAAGCACGCTGAGTGGATTGAGCGCGCGGCGGCGCAGATGCGCGAGCTTGTCGAGTGAATATATCTTTCTCACAGACATCACTGGAACGTTTG